ACGTTCATAGTTCAAGCTTAACAGTTTATAATATATGTATTCTGAGAAGATAAAGGACTCGTAAGTCAGTTCTCACACATTGCTCAACATCAACACCTGCTACAAGGTCTCAGGCCAGACGTACAGCATTGTATGTAGTGTAAGGTTCCATATATTGTTTTGGAATTCGTGCTAACTTGACTGGGATATAGTTTTGATTATACTTCACAGCTGTCCACAAGTTTTGTTAAATATAATGATGGTGAGTTAAGCCTTTGTTGTCTTTAAGGTCATTATGTACCTTTACAACATGTTGATTGAATCAATGTGGCATTGAATCGCCTTACCTTGATAATGGTCTAGATGCGGGCAGGAAGGGCGGGAAACCGTTATTCAAGCCTAATGTCCTTGCCTGGTAGAAAGACCTCGGCATGATACATGCCAGCCTACCTCTTGTAGCTTCTGTCCACACACTCACCGCTGGTCTCAGAATGACAAACATTCTATATCACACACTGTCAAGGAATAAATATTTATCAGTAGGTAAAACCTTAAAAACCAACACATCTACGACATCTACAATATCTGGCATGTCGGAAGGCTTGTATCTAACAAGCCCTGAATTATGTAACTAAAGTATGGGTTAATGTCTCGCGTTGATGTTTAGTATTCAGAGCTTTGATTTATCTAAGTTAGTATTTTTAACAATACTTTTCATTATAATTATGCTTGAATAAGTATTTAGTATAGTCCTGGATTCATTTTTTTGTTGTTTACGAGTCACTGAGATCTTCTTTAGTATAAATTTGGGCTTCTTTCTCGGCCTTGAATCTGCTGCTTTGTTGTATGAAGTTTCGCATTCTGGTTTTAAATGGCAGTGTTTATATTCTTTTGTTATCTTGGTCAATCTTGTAAAGTGGAGGGCCGGAGGCACATGGAATTGGAGGAGATATTCTAAACTAGATTAGGGAGTGGTTACAGGACAGGAAACAGCGGGTAAGCATTATGGGCGCTAAATCCGATTTGGGTAACGTCACTAGTGGAGTACCCCCAAGGTTCAGTACTTGGACCATCACGTTTTATTATATAGATAAACGACATAGATATAGGCGTAGACACCAACAAAGTAAATTTGCTGACGACACTAAAATAGGGCGTGTAATTAAATCTAACGAGGACTCCGCAAATTTACAGGAAGATCTAAAAAAAAAAAAAAAATTCGCATGGCCTAAAAAATGGCAGATGAAATTTAATGAGGACAAATGTGAAGTAATTAGCCTAGGAGATGTAAAAAGAGAACGCAGATATCAGATGAACAACGTTGATAAAGAGAAATCCGACCGTGAGAAAGATTTAAGAGTAATGTTACGTAGGAATCTTAAGCCAAGACAACAATGTGTATTTGCTCGAATCAAGGCTAACAAAGTACTTGGGTTCATGCAAAGGAGTTTTAGTTACAAGACTAGCAAGGTTATCCTAAAACTATATATTGCGCTTGTGAGACCTCACTTAGATTATGCAGTTCATTTTTGGTCACCGTACTACAGACTGGATAACGAATCCCAAGAAAACATACAGAGGAGAATGACAAGACTAATCAGAGGAACAAAGAATCTTGAGTACAGAGACAGGTTAATGCATCTTAATTTGCACTCCCTCGAGAGACATAGAGTGAGGGGTGATATGATTGAGGTGTATAAATGGAAGTCAGGGTTAAATACAGGTGATATAACAAAGGTACTTAAGTTATCTAACCAGGAACGAACTCGTAGCAATGGAAATAGAGTCGTGGATGAATGGAACAAGTTACCAAACATCATCATTAACTTGAACACGCTAGATAGCTACAAATATAGACTGGATGGATATACGAGCAATATTGGTTGGGTGTAAACGGGAGTGCCCAGTATGGGCAAATTGGCCCGCTGCAGTTTCTTCCATTCTTATGTATTGTCTTGTTAAGCATCACTAAATTAATTTCGTACGATTGGCCATATTTAAAGATTTATTGTAATGAAAAGATTCTTTTCAAAAAAACTTTAATATTTACTGAGATCCGTTGACTGGCGTCTGAGTGAGTGATATTTCCTCACATAAAGGGAAATTTTGTCATTTCGGTGTTTATCAAACGAGAGAGAACCTTATGCTCGGTAAGCCATTCGGTACCATAAGAGACAACTTGACTGCATGACAACGAACTAGATGTAAGCAAAGGGACAATTATAAACACATGGAAAACAACTGAAAGGAAATGACTAACAGCAGTAGTTAAAAAGTGAAAGTGGGTCCCATAGGCATGACTGCCCGTGAGGGACAGTATGCATACAGCACACTGTATACTAAGCCTTCGGTACAGAGGGTTAATTAACACCATCACTTCAGTATACTTCACAGGTCTTACCAAAGATACAGAAGGCGTCGGCAGCTAACACACACAAGCTCGTCTGGCAGACTTCAGCTACTCTGGAGGACAAGGCCAGCCTCTCCCGTGTAGTGCTTGAGTTCATGTGTGGAACTTTTGTGTACCTTGCAGTATCACCATTATTATAAGCACTAGTCTATGATAAGACCCAGTGACTGGCGTCTGAGTGAGTGATATCTCCTCACATAAAGGGAAATTTTGTCATGTCGATGTTTATCAAACGAGAGAGAACCTTATGCTCGGTAAGCCATTCGGTACCAAAAGAGACAACTTGACTGCATGACAACGAACTAGATGTAAGCAAAGGGACAATTATAAACACATGGAAAACAACTGAAAGGAAATGACTAACAGCAGTAGTTAAAAAGTGAAAGTGGGTCCCATAGGCATGACTGCCCGTGAGGGACATTATGGATACAGCACACTGTATACTAAGCCTTCGGTACAGAGGGTTAATTAACACCATCACTTCAGTATACTTCACAGGTCTTACCAAAGATACAGAAGGCGTCGGCAGCTAACACACACAAGCTCGTCTGGCAGACTTCAGCTACTCTGGAGGACTAGGCCAGCCTCTCCCTTATCACCCCTGTAGTGTATGGGACATTGGTAAACTTTATATTATCTATGATATAATAAGATAAGTGTTAGCTCATTCAAATATTTCTGTAATATTATTTTTTTTATTATCTATACTTTTGGTAAATTTAATGTTGCTCGAATTAACTGCAAGCTTTGGATTTTTTAAGGTTTTTTACTTCACTTGGTCCCTCGCCACTGAGAGTGTAGACAGTGCCGAGTTTTAGGCATTTGATATTTGTCTATAGCAATAGGTTTCCCGGCGACACCAAAAGTGGGATATATTCAAGAACAGTTAAATAGTGTTTACTTGTCTAATACAGAGAACTGACCGACCAGTTAGTGTACTGTTCATGTTATAAATAATTTTGTTGACCAACATCTGGTCATGTCTGGTTACATTCACCTGCACCACCCTTTTTCCTCTCGAGGCAAAGTGACTAACATTCATTACCTTAACACCATCAGTTCAGTATACTGCACAGGTTCTGCACGCACAAGTATACCAGGGAGATTTGAGCTATACTTTAGAGCATTGGTCCCCAACCTTTTGTAGGCTCTGTGCCACATTTATCATTGTAAGTATAGTGGAGGGCGCCAAATCTCATATATACTGTACAGTTATTTGCAGTTTTACACGTCTAACTGTTACCAGTTACATACTTTTTACATTTAGTCCTGGACAGGACGTTTGTATTTTCCCATAGTAAGAAGGCTGGCTCTCTCTCTGGGCCCGGTCTGGGGTAAATACACATGTCCTGTACACAACAGTTGTATCAAGTTATTACACATTTTCATTAACTTCACTCTTACAAAAGAGTCCCAAGTAATTCACAGTTTTCTAGTAAACCCTTGCAAGCTCCATAATATGGTTCAGCGGCCGCGAGCTACAGGTTGGACCACTGCCTTAGAGGAGTCATGCAACCTCTCACCCATCACTCTTGAGGGGATAGTTTTTTTTTTTACACAAATAAATGTCTTAAGGCGTTGGTGGAGATTATACAGTCGTAACAGCAACATGGTTAGATGAGTGTTTATCTGTAAAGCACCATTTGCGTCACAGACTTTCAGGGCGCAGAGCCGTCAAGAGATATCAAAGCAAGATTGAGGAGGATTACTTAATAAAAATGATAGCTCGGGGCTCGGCAACCCCCGCAACTTCATGAACCTTCCCCCACCCCCTAACCCCCTGACCCTCCCCTACTTCTTGACTCCAATACCTCCTGACCCCCATTTACCTCCTGAACCTCCCTTATCGACTGACGTCTCCGCCACCACCACCGTTTAACAGAGCGTAGACTTGGGGCAATGACGTTATATTAGGCAGGATAAACTATAACTAAAGTGGAAATATCAACAGTCATGGATAAGAGGAGGATTACTGAAAATAATATCTTAGTCTTACCACTATATACTGTAATGTACTATTGCGTATACAAGTACATAGTTACCACATCTCAGAAAACGCACAGCCAATGCCGCTTTGCATTACATTTGTACCAAGTAATTATAAAAACTGCTATGAGTTGAACTTGTACCTTAAGGTAAAAAAACATTAAGGGAAAGATTATTAATGTCACGATGAGCACATGCTCACTACAGTGGTGTCCCTATGGAAATTAATGCTGAACTAATATCTACTGTAGTCACCATCATTATTTTATCATAATTGCTTTTTTACTTCAGTCCCTCGAATAACATCTATATTGTTTATAATGGAACATTGCATAAAATTTATTATGTCTGGCTGTGTACATGTTTATGACAGGGCAAGGCGACCACACAATCACAGCTCCATAACATAATAAGAATTATATTAGCTGATGTCTTTGCCAACTCACCGAGCAGCACATTGCATCAGCTGACACACACACACACACACACACACACACACACACACAAATCGGTACTATTTCTTTGAAAGGCGTTCTATCTCAAATCAGTATTACGATTATCTTAAACCACCTGTAGATAATACAGTTTGTATTGGGCGTAGTCATAACCTCAGAAATATATAAGGAGGAAGGACTAGAGCTTCAGCACCAGAGCTACAGCACCAGAGCTATAGCACTAGAGTTATATAAGGAGGCAGCATCATATGTTGTGTTAATGCGAACACTTACTGCTGTACCGGCAGCAGCAGCAGCAGCAACAACTATTTTACCATAAACGAAGTTAACGAGAGTGTAAATATTGATATAAAGTTGTCAATATCGCAAGAGTTTTCGCCATGGATGTGAACGGCGACGTGGCTGGGAGGTTGTCAGTCATCGAACCTTTGACTGGTGAGGTCCTGGTGTGTGTTCATTGTTATGTGTATCAATAATACTTGTATGAATTCACATATTTGTGTGTGTGTTTCTTTACTCTTTGGGCACAATGATAGTGTGTAAGCACGTGCCTGTTGATGACGGTAGTAAATACTGTAACATAACATCTGTATATTTGGTGTTTATCAAAATCCAAATCTTAATGGCCTCTTGGTAAAGGAATGTATTATTTAGTTATGTGATTCACAATCAAACTTTAATTCATGCGTGATATCATTGCACGTCACAGATGATGGCGTGAAACCATACCATTACTGATCAACATGGTTGTTTGGTTGTCTTGCAGAGAGCTTCTAGTCTACCATCTACTTATGTTCCAGGAAATTATTTAGATTCAGTATTAATCGATAATCCAGGCTTTAAATAAATTTATTCCTGAGGGTCTTACCGCAAAGAGGCTTGTTTAGTGGAAACTGTTGTCTTATTATAAGGAGACGGCCTACCATCAGTGACCCTAACAATGTTTTAAACTAATCAGGTCTTAATGTCTCTCAGCAAGAAATATACTCTCGGAAGCATAATTCAGTACTAGATAAACGACACATCAGGTTTGACGAGTCATTGAGAAGAATCTTTCAGTACACACGTTCTAAAGTTTAGGTGACACTTAAAAACATAAGAATGGAGGAAACTGCAGTTAGCCTATTGGCCCATACTGGGCAGTCCCATTTACACCCAACCCCTATCGCTCATATATCCGCCCAACCTATGTTTGAAGCTATCCAGCGTATTCGAGTTATTGATGATGTTTGGTAACTTGTTCCACTCATCCACTACTCTGTTTCCAAACCAATGTTTACCTATCTCGCGCCTAAATCTAAATTTATTTAATTTAAATCCATTGTTACAAGTTTGCTCCTGGTTGGATAGTTTGAGTACCTTGATATATCACCTTTGTTTAGCCCTGACTTCCATTTATACACCTCGATCATATCGCCCCTCACTCTACGTCTCTCGAGGGAGTGCAAATTATGATGCTTTAACCTGTCTCTATACTCAAGGTTCCTAATGCCCGGGATTAGTCTTGTCTTTCTCCTTTGAATTCTTTCTAGGGATTCTATATTCATTCTGTAGTACGGTGACCAGAACTGAACCGTGTAATCCAAGTGAGGTCTCACAAGCACAAGATACAGCTTTAGGATAACCTCGCTAGTCTTGTAACTAACACTCCTTTGTATGGACCCAAGTATTTTATTCACTTTGTTTCGAGCAAATATGCATTGTTTACTTGGCTTAAGATTCCTACTTATCATTACCCCTAAATCTTTCTCACAATCGAATTTCTCTATAACAACGTTGTTCATCTGTTATCTGGTTTCTCTGTTTACATCTCCTAGACTAAGTATTTTATATTTGTCCACATTATATTTCATCTGCCATTTTTCAGACCATTCGAGAAATCTGTTTAGATTTTCCTGTAGTTTTTGTTGAGTTCTCATCAGATTCAATTACACGCCTTATTTTAGTGTCGTCAGCAATTCGACTTATGTTGCTTTCTACGCCTATATCGATGTCGTTTATGTGTATAATAAATAGTAATGGTCCATGTACTGAGCCTTGGGGTACTCCACTAGTGACGTTACCCCAATCGGATTTAGTGCCGTTAATGCTCACTCGCTGTTTCCTGAACTGTAACCACGCCGAAATCCATTTATAATATCTCCTCCAATTCCACGAGCCTCCATTTTTCGCTTTAGTCTTTCGTGGGGGACTCTGTCGAAGGCTTTGCTAAAGTCGAGATATGCCACATTCATAATCGTGCCCGTCGTCCACTGATTCGAAAACAGATGAAAAGAATGTTAATAGATTAGTCAGGCATGAACGCCCACTTGTGAAGCCATGTTGGAAATCATTGATCAACTTGTGCTTCTCCAGGTGATTTCGATTTATACACCTCGATCACATAGCCATACACTTTCTTATTTTTGAAGTAGCCTTTTAGAAAACAATCACAGTCAATACTGCGGTCTTGACAATAAAAATGCTATTTAAATTATACTTAAGAATTACTTATACGTACGGAATAATACATCAGTGACTACTGCTTCGGATTCACGAGTCTGGCTCTCGGGGTTCGTGAAGCAGCAGGAGAGGCGAGAGGACCTTTTGGGGCGACTATACAGTATATAACGATAAGAGTAATTACAAACATTGGTGGGAAGATAAGAGGTGATGTACTGTGTGTGTGTGTGGGTGTGTGTACGTGTGTGTGTGTGTGGGTGTGTGTACGTGTGTGTGTGTGTGTGTGGCCATATAGATGTGAGTATCGTCTTACGTGTACCCACTATAGGTGACTACAGTAACTCGGCCTCTGCCCCACAGGACCAGAGGGATACACACCAGACACACTGGAAACTCGGACCGCTAGAAACCTCCGCGTATGCAAACAGGTAAGATTACAACACACCTGACTGGCCGAGTCATGTTTTATATTTGAGCTAATCTATTGTACTAACACTTCCCCCTTGTTGGTGGTATTATTATGAATTATAAGTAACGCGATTTTTCCCAGCTGATAAAAGTTACAGCTGATTGGCTGTTGCAAACCTGTCCGATTTGTCCTGAAGTAATGATGTATTTCTAAATGAGTTTATTCATAATCGTTGGGATGACCGTTTCTGACGAGAAAGATATTTAGCTAAATTATATACAGATACATACATTCATTATTTCAAACAAAAGCACGTAGAAGTTTATCAGAAGTATTATACATGAATTAACTGTTAAACTCTGGTAGCAAATTCACGCTTTCGGAGGATGCATTTAATATATACTTATTTTTACCCACAATAAGGCATACTAAGACAAATTACGTATCAGTAATACTACATTATGCAAAAACAACATTTTAAAAGATCAGAATCACATTGAAATATTACCCGACCGTTAGCAGAGGCGGGGGAAATATGAAGTTGTTCGCAGTCATACTGTATTTCCCGCCTCTGCAGTTAATTCATGTATAATACTTCTGATAAACTTCTACGTGCTTTTGTTTGAAATAATGAATATATGTATCTTTATATAATTTAGCTAAATATCTTTCTCGTCAGAAACGGTCATCCCAACGATTATGAATAAACTCATTTAGAAATACATCATTACTTCAGGACAAATCGGACAGGTTTGCAACAGCCAATCAGCTGTAACTCTTGAGGAGGGGGCTGGGCATCTTTTCTCAGCTGAGAAAAAATGCACTATATAGTTAATTGTTCATGAACTGTGCCTGGGCATTGCAACATTCGGGGCAATGAACAGGCAGACAAACTAGCAAAAGCGACTGTGGGTCTCAGGGAGACAACCAATGTACCCTGGGAGCGTCAGTCGTGTCTCTCCTTGGGGAAGACATATACAACAGGGAGGTGGCAACTTGATTGGACGAGGTTAGATCTTCACAACAACTGGAAAACTAACATAGGAAACTGGCTTTCAGCATTCAGAAAGAATAGGAGGGAAGAGGTGGTTCTCGCCAGACTAAGGTTGAACTGTACCTATTTGACCCACCTAAAAGCCTATTTAGACAACTCCTTTCCACCTATCTGTGCCACGTGCAACAAAATTCTTTCTATCCGACACATTCTGACTGAGTGCAGCCAGTACGAACCAGAACGCCGGCAGCTGGTGATGCTAGCTGCCGAGCGAGGCTTCGTGCTGACTGGACCCAATCTATTGTAAGATAATGTCACCATAAGTGACGCTGTAATAATCTTCCTCAAGGAGACCCATCTTATCGGCATGTTGTGAAAGACACACGCATGAACTCTTTTTATATTTATAATATGTATGTAACCATGCCCTAAAGCAAATAAAAATGAATAAAACAAAAATTTAAACATACAACATGAGAGACATATCACAAACCTTTCCATTACATACAACACGCACATATACCAAGTAAAACTGACACCTACCAACACATATTCAAACAAAAAGACACGGGCTACAAAAGACAATAAAACAAAACAAAAAGTCAAATCACAGAGAAACTAGTCACCTGACCGGCCATTTCATCTGGTCTGTCAGTAACTCACTATCATATCACTCACTCATACCATAATTCATCCCAAATAAAACAACAAGAAGAAAGAAGAAACCAAAATACCAAGAACAAGAAGAACACAAGAATAACAAGAAAAGAAGAAACAAGAACATCAGATTAGTTGTAGCAAGAAAGAAGACCAAGACTAGAAGAAGAAACCTCAAGAAGAAGAAAGAAGACATCAGCTCCGGCCGAAATAGCCCAAAGGCGAAGTGGCCAGCAATCCCCAATACCATACCATACCAACTATTGTTTTGTGTTTTCTAATTCTTGTTCTTTAATTCATATTTTTCCTCATTGTTTTTCATCTCTTTTTTTTTACTTTTTTCGAATTTAATTTCTTTGTTTTCTCGCGTTCTTTTTTTCCATCCTTCTGTTCATTCTTCTTCTTCTTCTTCTTCTTCTTCTTCTTCTTCTTCTTCTTCTTCTTCTTCTTCTTCTTCTTCTTCTATTTTTCTTTTAATCTCATTCTTTCTTATTTTCATTTACTTTATTTTGTTCTTTTTTTTCTTTTTCATCATTTTCCTCGTCTTAGCTCAGGATACACCTCACAAACCTTCGATAACAGTAATAACACTCACACGAAGGATTGTTGATGTTATCACTCCGCAGTCGTTTCACGTGTAAAGCTTCGCAATAAAGATTACAAAAGCGATGGATAAAGAAGTATTGTATAAACTACTGATGACGCCATTGCACACACTACGAGTTGACGTAAGTTATGTCGACCAAATCTGTTCGTACTGTAGAAACGCGTATGTCGACTAAAACTGTCCGTAGAAACGTATTTGTCGAGGAAAAATTAACTTAAATAATGAATCTCGGTAAGCTGTGACGGATAATTTAATATGAAGCATTATAACAGTCACTGGGTTCTACTCGAGGCTAATAAAGGGAACGGGGATTTGATCATAGATTAACTTGATTTATATTTTATATTACATAATAGTTTTTATCATGTTACGCTAATAAAACTTATAATGAAAGTTAGGATTTACTCGCTATAAACCAATCACACATAAAACCCAGAAGGATATATTACTGTACAAAACGTTGATGGGATTTGGGCCGCATATTGAGGTGTGGTCAGGCTTCACTTTTCCCATAAAAAGCTAAACAAGAATCTCGATATAGATCAGATATTGAAATAAGTCTAATGTCTAGTTTCTGGTCTCCTTTGGTGAAGATTTTTTCAATTTCAGAGATATGTAATCAAAGTGCTGTAAAAAAATGGACGGCAAAGAAAAAGCTAATATCAGAATTTTATGTTTTATCGGGTGTTATCGACACTCATGGTTAAGTCGCCGACACACACACACACACACACACACACACACACACATATCAAGGTCATGCACTAACTACACGTGTTTCAGCCACAAAAGCTCCGATTTGAGTAGTTGGTAACTTGTGGCGAGGATGAGGTGGAAGAGGATGACTTATTTTCATAGCAGGTACTGTACATAAATGTGGTGTACGTGGGGAAAATATGTTACTGAGGAAAGAAAGAAACTTAATAATAATCGAAAGGTTTTCAGATGATATGAGAAAATATTAAACAATCAGTCACATTCGATATTGAAAGATTAAACAAGATAAATGAATTTAACTTTCATAACAATCAGATGTCTGCTAACTGAAAGAGGATTTTCCCCTCACGTGAACAGCACAGGGCACCTCACAGCTCATGGAAAATTACAGTGGGGTGATTGGATTATATAAACTAAATGAATTAACCCAAATTTATATCATTGTTATTGCCACGAGACAGGGGCTAATACAAGGTTTCTACCCATGAACTTGTTATAAGGTTTCTACCCGTGAATTTGTTATGAGGTATCTACACATGAAATATTTCCGTTAAGAATGAGTATAATATGACCAAATTTTTAGTCCGAAGAGCGTCTAGTATAATTGTCTCGACGAATTATATATTACTCAGTTTCCCTGACATTTATATACCAAGTTTCCGTCACTAAGTATCATACGTACAGTGCCTATGGTTCCACCTTAGTATAAACTCATCTACCTAATACAAGTGTTTCTCCTCAACAGGTGTTCATGGTGTTTGCGGTGAGTCTGTGTCACCTTTCTTTGGCCGCGATAGCCATGTGGCCTAACACCGCGCTGTCAGACCTGCGGCGAGACAACACCACCATGTATGGCAATGCTATATCTCTTACCAGTACTGAGATGGACATGTTGGGTAAGCTGCTCTTATGAAAGTTTGCAGCTCTGTCTTTTATCAGTATATAAGTACGTAAAAATATAAACCGTCTCTTCGAACACTAACTCCATCAAATATCTTCAGGAAGTCTGGTGCCAGCTGGCTCAGTCCCGGGTACATGTCTGGGGGCAATCTTCGTGTCTAGTATAGGACGAAGGAGGTCCATCATGGTGCTTCTGTTGCCCACTGTTGTTGGCTGGGGCATGATTGCCTTCGCTGTTAATCCCGCCATGATTCTGTTCGGCAGGTGAGTCTCCCTGTGCTAGGGCAGATATACGAGTACATGACTGAGTAAAGTAGGTGACTCAAACTAAAGAAAAAATTCATGTAAATAAGCATTAGGAAAATGCATAAAAGGAAATGTCATTCTGACGTAAGAGCTTTATAAATACTTTACAGGGATTTGTCCTCATGACTTCATATTAAGAAATAATAATCCAAACTCTTATTATTATTAATATTCATAAAAACAAGAAATATATTAATTATGCATAAAATATTTCGCCAGCCCTAAATTTGCACATCATAGCTATTTCGCCGATTATTATCAGAGTTTACAATTTAGAAAATAAATTCAGAGGACATGACAGCTGTGATCATGAGAGCCTGCAGGTTTGTGTGACGCTGTGACTCAGAGACAGTCAGTTTTATTCAGATTTCAAGACGAAGTGCTCGACGCTTATCAATGTCTTGATTATTTTTTTAAGAATAAAGCTGCTTCTAAGACCAAACGAGTTGTGTTTCCAGATCAATTAGTTTTTTTTTTTCATCAGATTCTTCAATGGAGTTACATGTGGAATGTCAACAGTGTCGGCAAATACCTATATTGTGGAGCTGCCAGATGCAGCTGTACGAGGAACACTTTTCGTTATACCGACCTTCTTCATTATAATTGGATATGTTTTAACAATCGCTTCGGGGCTCGTACTTCGATGGTACCAGATCCCCTTCTTAGGCATTAGTGTGAGCGCAGCATGTTTTATAGTAATGCTGTTCATGCCAGAGAGTCCAACTTACCTCGTCATTACTGATCAGAAAGATGAAGCGAGAAAAGTTCTAAGGAATCTTAGAGGACCAGATGTAGACGTCGACGAAGAGATAAATACACTTCGTAGTGTAAACGAGAAAATGATCAGTCAACCCCTGCTGAAGGTTCTCCGGCAGCCCGTCATGGTTAAAAACTTGTCAATTATCTTCATCCTCTTCTTCATTATGAACTTCTCTGGTCTCCCTGCTATCATCATCAACACAACTCGTATCTTTCTCGACGCTGGATCAGAAATGAACGAAAACTTGGCGACGATAATAGTGTTACTTATGATGTTTGTGGGTTCAGGCCTGTCCCTCTTTTTCTTGGATCGTATCGGCCGAAAAAAAAGTTTAATTGCTTCTCTAACAGTCACAGCAATCTGTCTTCTGATCCTGGGAACATTCATACACTGCAAACACATATACAAAATTTCAATATACAGTGAAGATGTGACATCAATATACAACTTTACAGCGGGGACCACCTCTTCTGACAACATGATGCTGGGAAACCATATGCCAAATGCACCTGTCGACAGGTTAGTGACACAAGTGTTTCTTGTCCAGGTCTACGTGTAGGCAGAGTTTGTAGAAGAACTATACAATGATAAGGATAGAAATAAGAAACGAAAAGGAAATAAAGTTCGAACAACCAATTCTGGAAACAGAAGTTGAGGCAGCTGTGAGAAAATGAAAAAATATAAAATTTGTGGGGTTGATCAGCTGCCAGCAGAATATATCAAACAAATGGGCAAAAATGGGATAAAATGTTTGAATAAAATATGTAATTCTATATACTTCAAAGGAGACCTTCCCGGTGATTTAAAAAAATTTATATATGTATTATTACCTAAAAAGCTAGGAGCCTTAGAGTGCGCCTACTTTAAAAACAATTAGCTTTATATGTCATGCTTACAAAGTTTTATTAAACATGATTTTAAGTAGCATAAGGTTTAGTATTGATAATAATATTTACTGTAGAGTCACCACAGCGAAAATAATACCAAGTACAGTACATCCTTACACTTGTTTACGACTGAACAGCTCCTGGACTAGTGAGCACTCGTGGGTGCCTCTCGTCTGTCTCCTGGTCTACATGGCTTCCGCGAGTTTCGGCCTGGTCCACATCCCTTTCATCCTCAGCAATGAATACTTCCCTACAGCAGTCCGAGCTCAAGTGAGAATCCTTCCTATTTCTTCTCTCATAAATTACAACATCACTGTCTTTAGGTTAAATGAATTATGGTTAATTATTCATATAATTCTACAATATTATACATTCCCAAGATGTAATAAACGATCTATAAAGTTCAAATCAGGATTCAAAAGAATATAACACATGATAAGGTAAATTTAGAATGAAAGTTGACGCCATTAGTATGAATTAATTTGTGGTTAACAACAAGTGTAGCAAAATGTATATCACTTTATAGGCAGCCATTAAACTGCTAAGTATAGTCATCCATCATTTACAAATGTAAGAATAACTTTTGTTAAACAACATGGAGTTTCCTTTTAGGCATCT